CCCCAAAACCCCAAAACCCCAAAACCCCAATGGAACATATAAGTTTAACTTTGGATTTAGAAAGGATAACTTCAAATACATATCTCAGAATATTAAAATCTTAAGTTTTAAATATTTTTTTTATCTTTGGTATTAATATTTACTTAGCTGTCTTTCCAATAAAATATAAAATATTTCATATTTCAAGATCCTATCTTTACTTATTTCAAATGGAGAAAAGAGTACTTACTGACAGTCAAGGTCATCCAGTAGCTGATAACTAAAACTCTATTACAGCTGGAACAAAAGGACCTATCATTTTATCAGATATTCATTTGATTGATAAACTTGCTAGATTCGACAGAGAAAGGATTCCTGAAAGAGTTGTGCACGCGGTCGGTTCTGGTGCATATGGTCATTTTGAATTGACAAAATGTTGTTCTTAATGGACAAAAGCTTAATTTTTAAATGGGCAAGGAAAGAAAACCCCAATTGTGGTGAGATTCTCAACAACTCTGGGAGAAAGAGGTTTCCCAGATACAGACAGAGATCCCAGAGGATTCGCTATTAAATTTTACACTGAAGAGGGCATATTTGATATGGTGGGAAACAATACTCCATTTTTTTTCATCAAGGATCCAATAAAGTTTCCTGATGTTATCCACAGCAGAAAGAGACATCCTCAAACGAATTTGAGAGATCCAAATATGTCTTGGGACTTCATCAGCTTGAATCCTGAAAGTATTCAAAACATCATGTTTTTATTCTCTGATCGTGGACTACCTAGCTGCTACAGACATATGGACGGATTTGGAGCCCATTCATTCAGATGGGTTAATGCCAAAGGAGAAGCTTTTTTTGTGAAATATCATATTAAGACTACACATGGACATCAGCCTCTTCTTCCAGAAAAAGTCAAAGAAGTTGAGTATGACTATCAGCAAAAAGATTTGTACGAATGGATTGCATCGGGAAAAGAAGTTACATATACATTCAACATTCAAGTCATGCCTGAGAAGGATGCTGATACCTACAGATATGATGTCAATGATATCACAAAGGTCTGGCCTCACGGAGACTATCCCATGATACCAATTGGTAAATTGGTCTTGAACAGAAATCCTATTAATTACTTTGCCGAAGTAGAGTAAGTAGCTTTTAATCCTGGTAATGTAGTACCTGGCATTGAATTTTCAAATGACAGAATTCTGAATGCTAGAGTATTCTCCTACCCAGATGCCTAGAGGTACAGGCTTGGAGTTAACTTTGATTAAATTCCGGTTAACTGCCCAATGCAAGGAAACAACAAGCTCGGCGTGACTCACTACAGTCGTGATGGAACTATGAACATAAATGGAAATGGTGGAAATGGACCAAACTATGAGCCTAATTCTCATGGAGGTCCTGTCGAAGATCCAAAGTATGATTGGTAGACAACTTAGATTGCAGGACCACTTGCTAGAACAAAGCATTCAGATTTAATTAGAAACAACCCAGACATTGACTATGAGCAACCCAGACAACTTTGGGCCAAAGTGATGACTGACTGGCACAGATAACATCTCGTCGATAATATGGTTAAGTCAATGACAAAATGCAAAATTGATATCAAACAAAGAATGATCAAACTTTGCTACAGAGTTCACCCAGACTTCGGCACAAGCATTGCCAAGGGGCTTAACATGCAAGTTGAGGCACCAAAACTTTGAAAAGAGTTGAAATTTCTGTCACTCTTAATATTAAGAATATTAAATTACCTTATTTCGAACTAAAAAATTTTAACCTCAATAAAAGCATTTTCCTTGATTTCTTTACTACCTAATAATATCTTCGACTCTATATTTAATTACGGGGTTTTGGGGTTTTGGGGTTTTGGGG